TTTCATTATGGAGGTTCTTAAAATTTTTTTGTAGTGAAATTTCCTTATCTTTTCCTTTATAGTTTCTAGGTCTCCTGTCTCGCTTAAGAATGTCTTCCTCTTACTAAAATATAGACAGTTAAAAATACTGTATCACTATGTTATACACCTGAAGCTAATATTATTGACTTAAATATAAAGTCAACTATACTTCAATACAAAATAAAAATCATTAGGTAGATGTCTATTATGTATTACATGCCCAAATATTGCATGGTGTAGATTGGTTATAGTTAGATATAGATAGATAAATATCAGATAGATATTAATAAATAGATATAGAATTGAAGACAAGTAATATAGATGATAGATACAACTGATGATAAACAGAAGATAGATAAATAAATAGACATAGAGAGATGATGGACTTCCAGGTGGCGCTAGAGGTAAAGCACCTGCCTGCCAATGCAGGAGACATAAGGGACACGGGTTCGATCCTTGGGTTGAGAAATCCCCTGGAGAAGGGAATGGCAACTCACTCCAGTATTCTTGCCTGGAGAATCCCACGGACAAAGGATCCTGGTGGGCTACAGTCCATGGGGTCACAAAAGAGTCAGACAAGACTTAGCAAATTAGCACAGCACATGTAGCATAGAGAGATGATAGATGATAGATATAATAGACAGTAGGGCTTCCCTGGTAGCTCAGCTGGTAAAGAATCCTCCTGTAATGCAGGAGAGCTGGGTTCGATCCCTGGGTTGGGAAGATACCCTGGAGAAGGGAAAATCTACCCACTCCAGTATTCTGGCCTGGAGAACTCCATGGACTGTATAGTCCATGGGGTAGAAAAGAGTCAGACAGGACTGAGCAACTTTCACTTTCAGATGACAGATAGATGATAAACAGAAATGGATAGATAAGGCCTTATCCTCAATGGAATGGTAACGTGATAGAGTAACGTAATGCTTCTCTGGACAAGTCTTCACTCAAGAATGTTGACAGATTCCCACCCACCCCACTCCAGGAATTGTTTATTACTTTAAATGAAGGCCAATAGGGAAATGGGTTTTAGATTTTCCTTTATGACCAATGTGGCTTGAACCCTGTTCTGAAATACACTGGACTAACCCTCTCTTCTTTTCAAGAATATTTTACTATGTGCAGTGCGGGTCGTACCGTGGTAAGGGACTTTCTTGGCAAACAAACAGGAGCATGGAATCTCAGCCACTGGACCACTAGGGAAGTGTCCAACCCACACTAGATTGTGATGTGAGAAATAAAATTTTTGTCCTGTTAAGACAGTAGGTTGTCACACCAACTACTATAAGGGGAGGGAATGTCTACATTCAGAAAGCAGGCTTTCCTATTTGGTATATGGAAAAAGGAGTCAAAGAAGTTTAGAAGGAGAACTGGAAGTAAGTAACCTAGAAAAGAAGAGCATTTCAAGAAAGAGCTACTTTGTGATGGTTTGTGATGGTTAGTTTTCTGTGTCAACTTGGCCAGGCTATGAAACAAGATATTTGGTCAGTCATTAATCCAGATGCTTCTAGGTGTGAAAATGTATTTCAAGTGGGATTAACATTTCAATTAGTCAAGCAGAATACCATCCATTGCATGGTGGGCCTTGTCTAATCAGTTGAAGGCCTCAAGAGGAAAAGAGTCTGACCTTTCCCACAAATGAGGGTATTCTGCCAGCAGACTGCCTTTGGACTTGAGTTGCAACATCGACTCTTCCCTGGATCTCCAACATGCCAGCTGTTGGTTCTATGTCCCTGAAGCACCCTGCCTACTACAGTGTTATTCCACAAAATGGCAAAGAAGAAAAAGATTTTGAAAAGGCTCTTCTATTTGGCAACCAGGAGGAGGGGAGCAATTTCAGTGAGCACTGAGGTCTGAAGCTCTATTTTAAGAAGGAGAAATGGAAGCAAAATCCTAATGCTGAGAGGAGCATGGGTGGGGGAGGAGGGAGTCAAAGGCATTAGTGGAGGGATTGAGTTTTAGGAGAAAGAATTTTTTTTTTTTTTCCTGAAGCAGTAAATAGAAAAGTGTTTGGGGAGCTCCCTGGAAGGCTTTATTCCAAGCAAATCACAACATTGCTCAAGAACTGAGATGAAACAACCCAAGTTCCCATCAACAGATGACTGACTTAAGGAGATGTTCAGCTCAGTCGCTCAATTGTGTCTGACTCCGTCAGCCCTTGGACTGCAGCACGCCAGGCTTCCCTGTCCATCACCAACCCCTGGAGCTTGCTCAAACTCATGTCCATCAAGTCGGTGATGCTATCCAACCATCTCATTTGCTGTCATCCCCTTCTCCTCCTGCCTTCAATCTTTCCCAGCATCAGGGTCTTTTCTAATGAGTCAGTTTTTCAAATCAGGTAGCCAAAGTATTGGAGCTTTCAGTTTCAGCTTCAGTCCTTCCAATGAACATCCAGGACTGATCACCTCTAAGATTGAAGGAGATGTTAAGCCGATCTTATAACTTAGACATAAAAAATGAAAGACCACCACCAATGAATGGACATAGAGAGTATTATCCCTACTTAAGTAAGTCAGACATAGAAAGACAAACATTATATGATATCATGTATGCTGCTGCTGCTCAGGCATGTCTGACTCTTGAGGCTCCATCTATCCATGGGGATTCTCCAGGCAAGAATACTAGAGTACATTGCCATGCCCTCCTCCAGGGGATCTTCCCAGGGAGCAAACCCAGGTCTCCTGCATATATAACTGAACCACTTTGCTGTACGCCTGAAACTAACACAATATTATCAACCAACTATACTTCAGTATAAAAAAAGGACTGGGGTGGGACTTCCTACCTTCATTAATACATGGAAGTTTCCACCAGTAGTGATCACGTTTTTTTCCTCCAAATGACCTCTGCTCTTTAGTGATTTCCTTTGACTTTCAACATAAGTACAGTATATGTGCCACAAGCAACTGTCCCCACACTTTCCCCACCCCAACTCAAGTTAAAAACAGTTTTAAGCAGTCTCCCTAGCCCATCCCACCCCGCCCACCCTGTCTGGTGCCTCTGCATTCAAGTCCCAGCTGAGCCACATCCTAACAGTTCCAAAATCTGGTCCCCCAGGGGAAGTCATCCCAGTTGGCCCTGGGTTCGGCACTCTGGTTGTTGATAGAAATTGCCTGAAGTTGCAGCTGAAAGCTCTCACCTGAAGGCTGGTGTAATTTCTAAGGAGTCGATCTCCCTTCATCTGTGATCTATGATCATGATCTATGATCATCCTTTACCCCCTCTTTCTCCCTCCTTCCCTCTCTGAACTACTCTGGTACTTTGGCCAGTGGGTCCCCAGCTCTTTCCTACCTCTCGGCAGTGCTGGACTCCTCTTTCCAGGGTCCTTCTGGAGCAGAAGTTCATCCTCTGAACCTCTTCAGGCCTGGGGCCGGCTCTGCTCAGCCAGGCCCCATCTGTGGTCACACACCAGCATGTTTCATTTCTCTGAGGCTGCATCTGCATTACCGTAGCAACACCACAGGATACACACACCCTCCAATCCCAAGGGGGCAAGGAAGTGTGGGAGAGGGCACTCTTGCGTACAGAGTTAGGACCTTTTCTCACCAGACATCTTGGATATAGCCAACTAAAGAAAGCATGGAGAAAGCCAAGGGTCATTTGTCTGTTCTTTCTTTTTACAAATATTTGGGTAGCTTCTGTGAGGGTCAGGATGGTGCACCCTGGGGAGAAGGACAAAGATGCTGGATTCAGCAGCCTCCCTGGGTTCAGATCCCGACATCTCCACTTAGAGCAACATGATGCTAAATGCAATATCTATCCTCTGAGAAATGAGGACCATCATAGTACTTATCTCCTAGGACTGCTATGAGGATTAAACCCATTAATACACAGGTAAACCACCTAAAGGACCCTTTGGGGTGGCTATCTCCCTAGTGTTTACAAAGCGCTGTCCTGATCCATGCCATAGTATAGGAGACTGCGGTTCGTGTGGCAAACTTGGAATCCAGATTCAAAGCCCCAGGAGTACATCATGACTACTACTAGGTAGGCAAAACCCTTTCGGAACCTTGGTCTCTTCACCTGTAAAATGGGCAGCAGGTTCTTGGCTCCCTTTCTCAAGGTCATGGTGAGGTTCACCTGAAATCATGGAGAGGATGCATTGTCTGATCTGAAACTTGCCTTTGGGAAGAGATTAGAGAGAGCTGAGCATCCCCCTTTCTGATTGGCTCAGATTTGTGAATGGGGTGCAGGGGTGGGAGTGGGGGTGTGGGGGAATGGACTGTCCTTGGCCCCTTCTTGGTTCCTAGGCTTAGGAGAAAGCTTCCCTGCCCCTTTGGCCTGACCTACTTTACTCCAATCTCTGGAGGAGGAAATGGCAACCCACTCCAGTATTCTTGCCTGGAGAATCCCATGGACAGAGGAGCCTGGTGGGCTACAGTCCACACAGTCGCAAAGAGTCAACACGACTGAGCACACACTACTTTACTCCAAGGGCCAGATGGGGGTGGGCGTGGAGGTGTGAAGATGGAGACAATGGAGAGGGCAGGCCAGGTGGTCGCACCCTATAGTGGGTCTCCCCCTGCACCATCCAACCACCAAGCTTGTCCCACCACGGCCTTTGTCACATATCAGCACGTTTACTTGTTAAATTGCTGTCTTTCCTCACACCATACAACCACATGGAGACCTGGACGGTGTGGAATGTTCCCCACCCTCCCAGAGTTTGGGGCAGGACCTGGCCCATGGCTGGTACTCAGTAAGTGTCCCATCAGAGAGGATGACTTGTGAGGCTCCGGGTGGAGGGACTCTGGGGAGATCACCACTCCTTGCCTGAGGCCCATTTCCCTCAGACATCCTCAGTGTTTACACCAGAGGCCCCTCCAGGAACAAAATCACACAAGCTGGGAGGGCTCAGGGCCCAGTATTCTCTGGCAGAAAACCGCATGGACTGGCCACCCAAAGCCACTCGCCCAGAGTGGCAGAGCTGGGGTGACCAGCCGTCCTGGTCTGCCCCCGCTGGGACTGANGGGTCGTACGGCCGCCGAGCCGCCTCCGGCCGGGCCCGCCTGAGGCCTCGGAGCGGGGACCATGAAAGGTAAGCCCGCGCGCGGGAGCTCCGAGGCGAGCCCCCTTGGGGCCCTCCACCCTGACCGGGCGCGGCGGGCATCTCTCGGCGGGCGGGCTGAGGATCGGAGGACTCCTCTGGGGAGAATGGCAGGGGCTTCCCTACCCCTTTCGTATCGTCTGGAGAGAAGTCTTAGGAGGACAGGATAGAGCCCTGAAGTCCAGAGGAGGGGGAGAGGAGAGGGAGAATGGAGAATGTTCTTATCTGTCATTGCTCTTGCCTGAAAAGCCATTGTAATTTCCAGAGAAGTTTTTGATCCCTTTAACCAGTCAGCACGGAATTATGCTACAGCCCAAACCTTCTAGCAGTGTCGACTTCATCTAGCACACCCATCTCACAGTCTGCTGCAGCCCCCGTCTAGCCAATTACCCCATGGGATCCTCCTCTGGGAGCTTCAATCCCAGCAGAGACCTGCTGTGACAGTTTCTTAGCCCAGGCCCTGCCCTTCCCAACCTCTGAACCCTGCCTGACCTACCTGTGACCTCCTGGGGACAGAGCAGTGGCCGGAGATCAGCGGCCCAGGCCTGAGCTCTCCCTGGGCCAGTGAGCATCACCACAGTGGTCCTTGCAGCCAGGTCCTGGGATGGAAACAAGAAGCAAACCTGGTCCCAGATGTTCATCCCTGGACCCTGGCTTTCTTGAGACCAGGGAGAGTGGACATCTGGGCTTCATGCTCATTTTCAGGCTAAGAGAGAAGCCAGCTCTGGAATCATACTGTGAGTCTGGAAACTTTGAGGTTTGAGCCTGTCTCACCTACTTCATGCTAATCCTTCCATAGGAGCCAGGCAGATGCTTTTGCTCCTAGCACCTCTTCCACTTACTGAATGGTAAAACGACCAAGGGCTTGTGGGTCATCCACAGGGCTTTCCACTATGTTCTCGTGGGGTGTTGGCAAAGCAGACTTGTCCGCCATAGAAGGGTTCAGGGTTCCTGTGAGGAAAAGGCTTCATGGGTAAACCTGTGATTGATGACAGCCTCCATGATGTGTGGTTGGGGAAACTGAGGCCCAAGCAGGTAGGACTGGCCTCTTGGTTGGATCATCTGTGCAGTCCCCTAAGGTCCCAGGGCCCTTCATGAGGTTCAATGGCCTACTATTGCTGTCTTAAAATTATTATTATTTTAATATTTTTTTGGCATGTGGGATCTTAGTTCCCTGACCAGGGATCGAACCCATGCCCCCTGCAATGGCAGCATGGAGTCTTAACCACTGGAGCACCAGGGAAGTCCCCTGTCTTAAAATTATTAATAATTTTTTAAGCAACGGAGCTCAGCAGTTTTATTTTGCACTGGAACCTGCAAATTACACTGCTGGGCATGTGGATGAGAGAAGGGACTTGCATAAGAGTCACAGCCAGTCGGGGGGCCAGCCCAGGGCTCCTGACCTCCAGGCCCGTGTGCTCACTCATACGTGCATCCCTCTCCCTTCCCTCCAGTCTCTGGTCCCTCCGGTCTCTGGTCCTTGGTGGCCTCACCGTGTCTTGAGCTTCCTGGGATGAGGCGAGCAGGTTATCACCAACTCCAGGGAGTTCCCTTAGCAGTAGAGAGGGGCCTCCCTTACTGAGCTCCTGTTATCGGCTCCCACATCTGTGGTGCAGTCCTGTGCCTGGTCAGTGACCCCGGGGAGGTCATTACCAGAAGCTTCCAGAAAGGTCTGAGACCACCTCTCACCACAGGCTCGGGGCCCACGCTGCTCTGAACCTAGGTAATGATGGTAAGACGCCGCACGTTCTCAGAGAGGTTTGGCTCCACCAACATTGCAGAAGAACGCTTGGGGAGAAAAGATGGTGAGGGAAAGACAGGCAGGGCTGAACGCCTCTGACATGGAGGAGACGCCCAGTTCTTGTGGGGGTGGGAGGCTTCCCTGGTGGCTCAAATGGTAGAGAATCTGCCTGCAATGTTGGGAAACCTGGGCTTGACCCCTGGGTCAGGAAGACCCCCTGGAGGAGGGCATGGCAACCCACTCCAGTATTCTTGCCTGGAGAATCCCGTGGACAGAGAAGCCTGGTGGGCTACAGTCCATGGGGTCGCAAAAAGCCAGACTGAAAGACTAACACACACACCCAAGTCCCGGGGAGGGAGTCGGGAACACAGGACCCTCCTTTCTGAAAGTCAGTGAGGCAACAACACTCCTCTGAGTGGAGGAGGAAAAGGAAAGAGCTGGTATGAATGGGTGTTTAGAGGAGGTCGCTGAGGAGGACCGGCTTGTTGGCTGGGAGGCTGTGGGCTCCAAGCAAGAAGCCTGAGGCCTGCCCTTTTCTCTCAAGGAGCAGCCTCACCACCATAGGGGGCTGAATTCCTGTTTGCTGAGGCCTTCAGGGCAGCTCTTGTATATTTTTCCCCCAGTTTTGGGAAACCTTCCACGATCTCCCATGACATCCCTGGGCCCGGGCCTCAGAGCTGCGGGTGTGTTCCCATTACGCCTCCCTGTAGAGTCTCCCTCTGTCTCCCTCATCCTCCCCGGGAGCCAGGAAGAGCTGACACCGCTACCTGAGATGGAAAAGCCAGGCCAGGCAGTCAGTATTTGGCCCTGGGGAATCTGTGGACTGTGAAGAATCAGAACTTTTTTTTTCCCCACATGGAAAAAGGAATGTGCCAGGAAAACGGGCCCGGCCCCTTCCAGGATGGCCCTTCCCCGGGGGAAGCTAGCTTCGAACTCTCCCACCAACCTGCCACGGACCTGAGGATTACATGTGTGGGCAAAGGCTCACCAGCCCCGCTCAAAGCTAAACACGGTGATGTTATGCTTTGTGGGGGTTGGTGGGGATGGTACTTAGACAAGAAAACAGGTCTGCTAAGGAGTGCCACCGCCAGCGGCCAGGCGCCAGGCCCGCTCTGCCAGCCAAGCTCTTTCCACCCTGAGGCGCCTCCCACCGGCATGCCCACTGGCCGGCAGCCGGGCCTCCCAGGCAGCCGCATCTTTTGATGCAAGCCAGCCCCAGGCCCGCAGTCCAGCCCCTCTCACATCTGAGGGCACACAGCTGCCACCGCCCCTGGTGATGGGCCCACCTGGGAGCTGCCCACTGGCTTGTCTGAGCCTTTAACAGCCACCTGTGGAATTATTCCCACATCGCCAGTGAGAGGGTCCCGTGGCAAGAGCCCCTTCCAGCCACATGAGGTCCCCGCGGAGCAGTTGGGTTCACTGCAGAGATGACTGATTTGAGAGTCAAGGACACAGGCTCTGATCCTGGCCACACGTGAGGCTCTGGTCAATGTTCCCTTCTCCAGCCCGCCTTCCTCCTGCTGGTGGTCCCGAGGCCCGTCTTGCCCTGGTGCCCTGGGACTCAGCCCAGGAGCTTTGGGCCGAGGGCCAAGCAGAAGCGACTTGGTAAAGAGATGGTTAGAGACAGGCCTGCTGCATATGTCCCTGTGCCCAGAGAGACTTGGCCTCAGCTTCCATAGATGTGCAGACCCACATCCTGCTGTCCCCCAAGCCTGGGGGAAAAGCCCTTCCCCATGGAATCGGGGAGCCATGCCCACACGCTGAAGGCAAAGGGCAGGCAGGAGGGCAGGGGGACTCAGAAAACAGCAGTGAGATCCCGGAAAATCTACCTCCCGCTGCTTGGCAGGGGGGATGTATCCATTCACGGACATGCAGACTGGGTCCCTTTTGGAAGCCCAACTTCATCCCCAGACCGCAGGGCACTGGAGTGGGGTCTGACATGGCAAAGGTGCACAGAGTCAATAAAATGGCCTTTTGCAGGGATGGGGGTGGGGGTGGTGCACGCTGGCCACCTTGCCTTCCAGCTGGAGTGATTTTAATAACTGAAGACTCCCCTCTCAAGCTTATTTGGAAGAGAAGATAAAGAATTCTGCTTCTCAGTAGATGTTGGTGAACGGTTTGGCAGGTTTTGTAAAGGCCTTTGGGGGCAGTTCTTGTGTATCTTTCCCCCAGTTTCGGGAAACCTTCCACAATCTGCCTTGACATCCCGGGGCCCCAGCTGCAGAACAGAAATACACTACTATGTATAAAATAGATAACTAATGAAAACCTCCTATATAACACAGGGAATTATACTCAATGGTGACCTAAGTGAGAAGGAAATCCAAAAATGCAGGGGACATCTGTATACATTTAGCTGATTCACTTTGTTTTACAGTGAACACTAAAGCAACATGGTAAAGCAACTATACTCCAATAAAAATTAGAAAAAACAGAAGAGAACCAAGTAATCCAGGGGGATGTCATGAAGGCACCAGTGAATGGTACAGACAGTAGATTCCATAGAAATCTGAGGAGAGAAAGAACCTTTCACGTTGGGGCAGGTGGGGAAGGCTTTAGGATGTAGACGAAGGTGAGCAAGGTCTGGATGGGGTCATGCAGGAGACAGGCAGGAAGGATGGGAAGCGTGTTGGTCAAAGCTGGGCGCTGTCATTGGGTGAGTGTGTTCAAGGTGTGATGGGCAGAGAGGTTGGCTTGGAGGTTGAGGGTTTGGCAGAGAAACGCAGCGAGCCACAGGACCAGGAGGCCTTGAGCACCATGCCAAGGACTCCAACTGTGTCCTGTTGACTTTGGAGAGGCCCTGAGCAGGTTTGTCAGAAGATGGCCTGCTTGCTAGTTCTGTAATGACATTCACCCACGTTGGGAAATCTCTACTTTTAGAGAAAGCCGTGAGGGAAGAAGAAAATGAGCCTGTGAAGGAGCCAAGAGGAGCGGTCAGGGACACAGGGGATGAAGGAGGATGTAATGTCATGGAAACTGAGAGGAGAAAGTTCCAAGAAGGAGGAAATGGTCAACAGCATTGACTGTTGATGAACAGGCTTTGCTCAGGGTTATTCGATACTGAAAAAAACAGGTGCCATAGACCGAGAGAAGAGTGGGTAAGTTTGAAACAAAAACCCAGAGAGGCCTTGTGTTACAGAAGTTTGAGAAAAAGAGAGCTAAGAGGTTAAAGTAAGAAGCAGGCCAGGCATGAAGAGATTTTCAAGGTGGGACTGGCCGGCTCATTGGAAGGTCAGGGGAGAAAAGAGGA